GGATGCAGAGCGCAACCAGCCTGACGGATCGCGCTCCGTCCCGCTGAACACGACTCGGTGCCGCATCAGTTTGAAAGAAACCAGCGTGTGGCACTTGTAGCTGTGCAATTTTCTGGGCGTTTGTCGTGGAGCAGGAAGAAGAGGGAGGCACTAATGCTTGGAGAGAAAAGCTTATATATATAGACACTAATAGAACAATTTTAATTTCTGAGAGTCCTATTATTTTCGTTGTAAGATTTCAGGGATGGAAGGGTGGTGTATTTTCATTTATGTTTACATTTTACAATCTGAAAAATTAACTTTTTTTTTTTTTCAAGATCTAATATTTAGGGATTATTTAGAATTGAAGTTACAATTTAAATTGCTTCTTGCACTTCTTCAGTATTACTTGTGAGTGAATTATCACTATTTTTCATCCTAAAGCATCCAGAGTTGGATGGCGGATTTCTCCGTGCATAGTTTGTTGCTACAGAGTCAATGACAGAATCAGTGCTCATTCGTTTCAAAAAGCAGATGAAACTCAGGAAAGAGGATTTTTCAAGCTCAGAGATATTATATGAAAGACCTACAACAATTAACATGACTAACAACAAACAAAACCCAAAACCATTCCAACTAGCTCTGCACAGCAAGAACTCATTTCCCTTCTTTAATAGAATACTATCCACAGACATCCTAGGATCACCTCTTGGTATGATAAAATCTTTTGGGTTTGGGAGTATTTTTTACAGAAAATCTGCAATGAACAAAGTGCGTTCAAGCTCCAGTCCCTCTGGCTATCATTATAATGTAGAAGGAAAACCAGTTTTTACAATATAAAACAAGGAAAACACTCCACCTAAGTTGCCAACAGTGACTCATAATTCTTTCTCTCCTGTCCACATGGCACAACTGCCATGTCACCACACAGTTTTCAAGCTACCCCAGTGAGGCAAAACAATAATAAATAAATTAAAAGGGGGTTTTGCTAAATTGAGTTCTCTATCTTACTGAGAAATGGATCCTAACAACACAAGTATTGTTCAGCACTTCCAGTCAAATGACAATAGCATGTTCATTCACTCAATATTACTAGTTTATCCAGTTCAACTGAGCTTGTCAAACCACCTTGAAATAAATTATTTTTATTCATGTATCCTAAGAGGCTGAAGGTGGAATTCTGAGCTCTGAAAAAGTTCTATCTCCGACGCTTCATCATTTTCGACATTTGGGAATAAAGCTATGGACTAATTTCTAATCTACAAAGGATATGAACATCATATTGCCACACACTATAAGGAATACTGGACAATTATTCTGAATAATTATTTGGGGTTTTTTGTTTTCTTTTGTGAGTTTTTTTTTTTAATAATCTTTAAATGTGCATTCAGCTACACTAATACGTATTTCTCAATAATACTGGTTTTGCCAGATACTGCCATAGGACATAACTAAAAATTAAGCAGAGCAGAAAACTTTCTCCTACTAAAAATGACACTTCAGTTAGTGAAAGTTTCACACCAATTTTCTTAAACTTTTTTGCACATTTCTATTCCAACAGGTCATAAATTAGTTATTAACTTTTGCCACCCCTTTATAAATACATGCCCCTTTTACATTTTATTGCTGTTTCAGCGGTTGCACACACCTTTCTGTGTCTTGGACTGCAAGAACAAACCCACTGAAATATGCTTTATTGTCTTACAAAAAGGGGGAAAGGAAGTATGTCAACAAGAAAAATCCCAACAGATTAAACCCAAAAACCTTCATGGGAAGCCATACAGAAAATCTGACACAAAAATGAACAAAACCAACCTCAACGCACACCTCCCAAGAAAGGATGTTTAAGTCAGTATGTCAGTTCTGTACCTAATTTCTCGGACATTATTTTCACCATGCTGCAGGGACAAAGACAATCAACAGAAGGCACCAAAGCACTTTATACTCAACATTTTGGAACTTTTTAACCCAAAACTCAGAGTCACCAGTAGCACTTGGCACCTGCATTATGGTCTACGTAGGTTAGGTCACAGGATCAGGGACAGCTTTTGGGACATACGAAACACAGAAGCTCGTAAGCGAAGAGGGGATCAAAGGACTGAGTTTGCACTGGGAGCCGCAGTCAGCGCCTTGGTCCGATCCAAGCTTCAGCTGAAGTTAGCAACTCACTGCACCGTGCCACGTACGGAAATTGGTCACAAATGTCAGTCTTGTTTTCATCTCTGCCTCTGTGTTATTTGTCAGTACAGGAACGTGTATCACAACACAGAACAAGAAAATAAAAGTAGTACATGAAAACAGTTTGTTGATAAGCAGAAATAAGTAACACGGACCACTGAGGGCTCTTCATTTCGAAGGATAACTGCACAACTTCCTTGTCCTACACCTCTCAAATCACCAAGCTCCTTGTACTCGTGTTTTTTGAGGAATTCAAGATGAATGAAAAATGCAATCTAGAAACCAAAGTGTTTTTAAAGAAAGAATTCTTAAATTTATTTCTGTTAGTAATTCTAAACATTTCGTCTCTGCCCCGAGTTATCTACAGAATTTAGAATTCTGTAGACAGGCGGGTGTGCAGAGAAAAGATGCAGATATGTAAACGTTTGATATCAGAAAGGTCACGAGATTTCAGTAAGATAAAGAAGAAATACATTGTTTGGTACTCTTGCAAACTGTTCAAACAGATAATTAGATTAATTTTTGCAAGAATCATTAAATATTTTCTACATACCGCATTACGGGTTAAAATATATCTCCATAAAGTACATAGTGGGTCTGAAAGGATGACATTTGTTTTCAGTTGTTAATATTCTTTGATCATTCAAATTGCTTTAAATTTTTAACGTTTATGACTGTTTTACAACTGAAGATATGATATTCTCTGGCGCATTAAGCAAATTTGTTTTGATAGATTAAATGCTTGAACTTGCTTTGGAGAAAAACTTGGAAAAAATTCAGGCTAGGTTGGAAGTATAAAGCTCACATTTTGTGACTGCAAGAAAAATATCTTTGGAAATAGATACAATCAATCTCTTTTCTCATCTTTTAGAATTAAGACTGATTTTTCCTGTAGCAGTATGTCTGTGCCGAAAATTAAAAATGCATTAAAGAACTGATTATGATGTATTTTATATATCCTCCTCTTCTCCCACCCACAAATAACTGGCATAGAATTAACCAATTAAAGGCAGAGAGGTAAATAAAGTAATTCAACATTTACTACATCCTGGGGAGAAGGAATACATTCCCAGCAATTTCTGCAGAGCCTGCAGAACTCGGTAATATTACAAAAAAGGCTCCATTTATTGCCCAGCCTATTTTAGTGAAAGTTATAGCACAGTCTACTGTCAGTGGAGGACTGATTCACTCTCTGCGGATATGGAAAATCAGTCCATTAAAAAAAAAGAAGAAAAAAAGTCAATTTTATAGGCGTTCATGATTTTTTTCTTTTTTTTTCCTTTCTTTCACCACACAGTAGACTTTTTAATCTGACAGACAAGTAGAAGTTTATAGTGGTAACACATTACTTTTTACTGAAAAGCGCTGTTAATATAGAATTAAAACAATACTCTTGGTAACATAAGTTCCCAGACAAGGAACTCTGCAGATGCCTACTGTGAGCTCAATATGAGCATCACACGCTGTGCGATCAGTATCAATATCCCAGCCTGGAGATAGAGGGGCCAGAGGTACCTGTGCTGACCGTGCCAGGCAAACACGCACAGCCACCACGCCGGGTCCCTCAGAAGGCAGAACTTGCTCCTGCTGAAACCGAGCATCCGTACAAGGTGGGTAGAGCCCCTGGGGAAGAATCCCCTCCGTTATCACATGTGTGCTCAAAACCACTGTGGTGCCAGGCACAGCGCTGTCTATAAAGCCCGTTGTTTTGCCTGTTCTCAGAAGACAAAGGCAATGTCTTGAGCCTGCTGACCCTCCAGGTGCCAGGACTGTGCGAGGCAGGTGCTTATTTTAGCCATCTACCATTTGCTGTTTCCTATCACCATGTAATTTAAGGGCAAGCTGTTCAGCAGTCTGAGCAGGCCTTCCCTGCTGTATTTAAGCTTATACTGTTTCAGTGCTGGACCAGTATGAACTCCAGTTCAGATGCTGAGGGTTTGAATTCTGGAGGGGTTGCCCCCATGACACTCCCTCTCCATTTTGGCTTAGGACTGTGGGCTTTCACAAATATTAACACTTTCAGCTTAGCAATATTAACTTTCAGGTAACAGGGAAAGCTTTATATCAGTTCACATAGTCGACACCTATTCCAGAAAAGGTCTCTAAGTGAACAAGAAACTATTAGTAATAAGCACATTATCTGCTCAGAGACTGAGTTCTGGGTAATATGGATTTTACATTGCAATGACAGTGCTCTAAAGCTAATGTGCATTTTCTCTCTTAGAGTCAGCTTTCACTGACTCTTTCACTGTCAAATCTTTCTTTTCTTTTTTTGGTCTGTGCTGCAGCTTTAACAGCCAATGTGTAAAGTTTGTGGTACATGAAGAGCACAACGTGGTGTTATTTCAGCCCTCAGAGAAGGATCCTCCCCAAAAGCCAATGACTGCACTGAACAAGCCTGCCAAACGCCTGTCTCTCCTCCCTCTTACATACCAAACACCTTTTAAACAGCTTTTTGTCTAGGGCAATTGTCAGATACCTCGTAATATCGTTCCCCGTGAACCTGTTACCCATCCGCTACTCGACATTTCGCAGACCTGGGCAGGTTTCTGGCTGCAGAGCATACCTCGGACGCACTTTGAATACAGCTGAACCCCATCTGTTCCACGCAGCAGCGAGCACGGCAATTTCCCTGCTCCTCAGGAGCGGCAGCAGAGAAGTCGTCTATTGTGGTTTAATTAGCAGTAACCCCAGCCTGGGGGAAGTGTGAGATTTCACTTTGCTACCTACACCACCGGGCTGAGGTGGGAAGGAAGGGTACCGAGCCCCCACATTCGCCCAGCACTGCAGCGCGGGGAGAGCCGCCCCCCCCGCCGCCCCAGCACGGCACCAAGTCAACTCACAGGATCTCCAGGTCGCGCAGGGCTCGGAAGGCTCCATCTTCGATGCAGCTGATCTGGTTGTTGTCCAGTTGCCTGCAGAAAGGAAGGGAGAGGATGAAGGCTGGCCGGTACGGGCAGAGCTGCCTCGGCGCGCCAGGTTGGGGGCTTCCCCGTCCCCGAGGTGTCCCTCCACCCCCTCGCAGCGCCTGCTCGCCACCCGGCGCAGGGCTGCTCGGCTGCCACGCTGCTCTGGCTCTGCTCGCTGCTGTCTGACAGCGCTGCACGCTACCGCACACTGAAGCCTGTCAGGTCTCAGTAAATATTAATTGCGCCTTTTTTTTTTTTTTTTTTTTTTAAAGGCAGAAGGGAGTAATTTCATTACATTAGGGCATCCAATCCATTATGAGCTTTTACCGTCATGTCACTGAAACAATTTCATTAAGCTAAAGGCCTGTAAATCATTGGAGGTCACTGTGCTGCCCTCCGTGACCTCCCAGAATGCCTTTTTTTCTTTTACTGGAAGTTGGAGTCCTCTGTCCTGACAGTACTAAATCTCCAGGCTTTATCTGCCCAAGAGCTGTGAGAGTGCATAGGGAATATACCAATTCCAAATTAGACTCAACTAATCTAATTTTATAGTCTTTTTATTATTCTAAGCACCAAATGTCTGTGGTGGTTCGATGCCTCTCTGCATTGTTACTGGTCCCATCTGGTAGCCCGTTCTATTGAAAGATTTCTGACTAAATACAGATTCTGTCTAACTGCATCAGGGAGAGCAATCCAGTGACAGAAAGCATTATACACATGTACACTTAAAACACTATTTTGCTTCAAAATGTGTAATTTAATATTTGGATGGTGGAGTTCTCTCATTTGTCTCCCTGCATACACATGATTTAAACATATTTTACAATATATGTGGATACAGCAGTACAGCTACATCTGTCTCTTCTGCTTAGAAAATTAAAGTTGTAAGTTGTAATTTAAAATTCAGTGATTACATTTTCTGACATCTGATACCTTAAATTTTACACTTAGAGAAATAAAATTATGTACCTACCCATGTGTAAGTAAAATAGCTGCATTTCCTAAAGAAACTGATGCAGGCTCCCAGCTCTATATTATACTGTCCTTTTCACAGTATAAACTTTAGATTTGGTGAGGCAGGGACCGTTTTTTCCGTGTGTGTAAAGTATCGTGAACAAAGATATCAAAACTGCACTGCAGTTTCTGGCTGCTATTAAAAACTCCTGAATACATACGCAGAGATAGCAAATATATTTCACCCGTGTATAATACATTTGTACAGTTTTACCAACTTCTTTCCAATTATTTGCTGTACCTAGCTTTTGTCTAAATAGACATTTATCAAAACTTTCTTCTTGTATAACAATTAAGCACAGAGAGAGCAAATATAATCTTTATGCACCCTTTTAAAGACTGAGTTTGACCTACTAACATTGAGCATCTTGAAAATGTATATCTTTGACAACTATGGGAAACTTATCCTTCGTAATGTAGTCTGGTCTCGAAGAATATCATGTTTTTTATGATTTAAAGTGCATGAAAAACACATACACTGTAAGGTCTACTTAAAAGCTTAGCAAGCATAAAGCCCAGCTAAGGTTTCTCATACCTATCATAACTCCGGAGAACATGCTGAATTTGGCAAAACTTCGGCGATGTCTCCTCTACTGACAGATACCAGGATGTACAATCATCCAAAATAGATCTTTCTGTAGCGTAAGACTTCCTTGCATAGCATATATACATATGTAATATAAGTATATACATGCATATTTATTTATGTTCTCTCTGTTTCTCCCACTAGCTAGCAAAGATGCTAAAAACTATATATTTTTGACTGTTGGGAGGACCAGTGGCTGCTGAGTGGCTTTTTCTGAGGTCCCTGTTTAATTGTGTGGGCTGTTAAAAATTTGGTGCTCAAACAGAAAGGATGGTACATTTCAGGAGGAATAAACTTAAAATGTGTTAAATATAACACTGGTTGCATGACTAAGAACTTTACACTTCAGTTGGCTTTATTAAGCATAAAGTTGGCACATGCTAGCATGACGAAGAGAAAGCAGGTGGAACTTGAGAATCACCTCTCTCTTTTCTCCTATGGGAAGTACTACATATTGCTTATTTTTATTTGAGTTATAGTATAATATTGATTTTTCTGCCAAATACACAAAAGTAGGCAAATAAACTCAGTGTGCAAGTCACAAAGCCTTCTGATTAAAGGGCTTCATATGCAGTGTATTGGTTTTTTTAAAAAACACTACTCTCACGCATTGATTTTTGTTGAAAAAGCATAATGACAATCTTAATCATATTTCTGTAGGTCCAGTCATGCTAGCACTAACAACCAAGTTTACTCTGTGTGATTAATCCACAGAACGACAGCAAGGGAAACCTTTAGATGCCAAGAAGATACGCACTTAGCAGGATAGTCAGTAAACAGGGAAAATATTCATTAGAGATACATATTGATTCCGTGTGCCCCGTAAACTAAATCTGCACAGTGTCTGGGAGACGTCCACGCGCTTAATGCTTCTTTGGAACAGAGCTCATGTCCCCTGATATCTATCACGCCAAAACATTCACATCTGTGTTTAACTCTAGGCATGAGAATTTCTTCTCAAAAGGAACAGAACTATTAGTTGTCTTAAAATTAGACATGACTGTTTTTAAGACCCTTCACCTCTCCATTTATTTCTCTCTGTGTAAAGATGGAAATTCTGTTTCTTTGCATCTGTACAGCACCTGGTAAACGGTTAAACAGAGACTAGAGATTTGAGAGTTTTTCCTGAAAGACAATGGGTTAGTTTAAGGTTTTGAGAAAACTTCAGGTAAAGACTTTCAGAAAGGCAAAGGCAGGTGTGTTCAACACATACTTCTATACCTGTGAAGACAAAACAAAAATCCTGTGATGTGGGCTAGCAGCCAGCTCACATACTCAAGGTGGGTAAGCTGTGCGTGCAGCTCTTCGATGCGCAGAATAGACACACCTAACATTTGTTGAGAAGAACATCTTACCTGAATAAAATTAATCATATGCAGAGAAAGTAAAAATTCTGGTTTAAAGACAAAGGAAAAAAGTCAGTATTTCAGAAGAGGTGGCATATATATTTCCTTGAGGAACATGAGACACTGCTCTCATTTCTTCATCGCTGCCTTATTGACGGAGCACTCACACGGAGCACTGCTACCCGAGACACAGATCAGCTGCTCTAGGCCTGCAGGTAAATTTAAAAAATGCTATCAGCCAGCAGAAGCATTTATTCAGATTTAAATGCCATCTCTATTTGTCAGTGTTCATACCCCTTCTAGACGATCTTTTTCTCTTCAATATTACAAACAGGACGTTATGCATGTAATGGTGTAATGTAACGGTCGGTAAAAAAGGTTAGACAACACAAACTCAGATTTAAGACACAATTTTAAAATGGAAAAAGTCACTTTTTTAATCCCTGTTTACTCCTGCCTTTTAAAGGAATACAGAACTATGCTCAGACTTTACCTAAAACTACAAAGTGATTCAAGTGCCTCTGAAGAAAATAAGGGTTCTCATGAAGGAAGAGTGAGCCTCTCTATTTAAAAGAGGCTAAAGGATGAATGAAACCACAATAACTAAGCTGTGTGAAATAGCCATACAATATGTGTGGCACATTATAAGAGCTACAAGCCACAGTATAAACAAATAAAACCTCCAAACTTTGAACTTCCAATTATTGCTACGTTAGATAGATATCTATGTTTTATTTGGGTAGAAGTGCTCGGTTAAATGCTGAGTCTCTCAAAGCGCTGGTCCTGGGCTCGGTGACACTGGCAGGGGGGTTCTTGATCCAACGTCAGTGAGCTGAGATCCCAGCCTGGGAAACCCAGCAGCTCGCCTGTGATTGAATTACCTACTCTGACCTCACCTAAGAGGCTCCAGGGATCTGAGATCCCCATGACAGGCAATTATCAACCAGACCATATGAACAGATACAAAGAGCAATACCAGAAGATCTCAGAGAACGGATGAAAACACTGAAGCAAAGAAAATACTGAATGGGTATGTGGTACTGAGGTGAAGTGTGACACAGACGAATCCTTATAAACCTTGTTAGAATTTATAAAACTATTCGGAAAAAAAGGGTCTTTCATATGGTAGAGCTATAATACAAGATGCCATATGTACTATTAAAATCTGACTCCACCATGACTCAAGAGCTAGTCTCTGTTTTTATTAAGAAGCAAGGAAATTATGTGACTAAATTATATGCAACTGATTAATCATTGGCCATCTTTAAAATTGTTGTTTTAAAGAAAAAACCTTAGACACTAATCACCTTTCCACAAAATGAGAAATAATGCTGCATCCCAGCAGATTTATATCACCAGACAGTCTATGGTTTGGCCAAGACATCGCTTTAACTGTTTAAAACACAAGTCCCTGGACGGAGTATAACTCTGGCTTATCCATTTAGATTTGTACATTATCTATCATAAGTGAGAATTAAATTTCAAATAACATTTGGAAGGAATAGTATTTTACAATGTTGATATTCTTTTGTCATTTGAAATAATCCTCTAAATACCGAGGCTCAAAGGTTTTGCTTACAGCAATAAGGAATATTTAGTTTTCAAATGCATTTGAGAGATAAAAATCCCCAGCAACAAAGCTGATACAATTCTTATCATGCTACTAGATGTAAGATTTTTAAAAAACCCTACAAAACTCCTATAAAACATTAAAAAATTGAATTAATCCAGAGCAAAATGTTATAAAACCCAAATAATCTCATCTTTTACTAACATTGAAAATCAGTTAATGTTTTAAACCCTACACTTACATTACTAGAAATGTTCCTTCATAGTACACCAACTAACCTGATGCCATATAGAAGAGCTTTCAGTATGTTTCCTGCAATTAGCCACACTCACATTCATGAAGAAGAGGTCCTTCAAGCATCAACATTTCACAGTAATGAAGTATAACATCAGTGTTTTGTACTTTGCTTCAGTAAGGGATTTTTTTTTTTCCATTCACACACCCTACCAAGGCTACTGCAGAGCTCAAGTGTTAAGCTGGTTTGTAATTA